TACTGAGTAATGACTAGGGACATTCCTATCCGGTAATATTTCTGTTTGCTGAACTTGTGTGAAGTGGCTTCTAGTACAAACCATTCATTAAGAGATTCGTCATCTAGCTGATCTTTACAAACAAAAGTCCCATTAAGAATCCTATTGATCATGAAAACAATTATGTTCTCCGCATAATCCACTCGAAACTCTCATCTATTTCTGCAACTTTCTGGCTTCTAAAACTATTTCAAATAATTTCAAGTCCAGTAATAATCATTTGTTTATCTGTACCTGACTACACGCTTTCAAATACTTTGTTAAAAATATCCATGCTCATTGTTTTATAGTATGTTTTACGACATGTTAACCGTTGTTTACTGGCTGAGACATCTAAGTATATAAGTATTTCATTATTGTTTAATTCCAAACTTCCATTGATCTTCGAAAAGTTTACCGGAAAAATGATAGGATAATGGTTTGATTTTTGTAAAGCGAACAGGTTGCTAGGTTAATTCAAGTAAAATGTTTAGAGTTTAAAAAAACATCTGGCTATATGTTTGTAGTCGGACACGAAAAACAATGACAATCTAGTCCACTATAAATCATTTCATACCAATATGACATTATGAAATGTCTCTTAGTGACAATGTTACTTAAAGTTGAATCGGTCCTCTAACTTTCCACTAAAATCTGTCCGTAGATTTAGCAATAAATAATTTCTTCGGAACCTACTTCCAGAACTTTACGGAGAAATTGCATTTATTAATGATACGTTCTTTGTCATTTTTAAACAAAGACGATAGTTCTTTTGCTTCCCAATATTTCAAGGCTTTATTTTACTTCATGAATAAATAATGTTCAATTTCTGTGTTTAGTCAAAACCATAATATATTGACTGACTTTTTCGAGCTTTCTCACTTTTGCCAGGTACCTTCACTAATGGGTTTTTAAGACAATAGAATAACTGATTGTTATTGCTCTTCTTTGGATAGTCGATTTCTCCAAATCGTTATGTTGCATGTACATGTAGTCACCCGAAACATATATATATATATATATATATATATATATATATATATATATATATATATATATATATATATATATATATATATATGCAAAAACAATTTTGTCTTAAGTCAAATTAAGCCCAATAAAGTTTGAAGATTGATATGTTACAACTTTCAACCTGATCCTAAAGGTTGTATGGACAAATACACCACATATATTCACCTTTTATGCTGCATTTTAAATGTAAAGTACCTCCTTTTCAAGAACATACGAATAAAAGCACTTCTTATAGATGTTGTCAATTAATTAATTCAAAGATTTTCACTGCTCATCAATTTACTTTTGTACTGATGATGACAGTTATCCTACATGAAATAGTTCGTATCGACTTAGTGATTCATACAGTTATTCAAATTATTTATAAAATACCACTAATTAACACAATACCGTTCATTATTCAGTCAACAAATATTTACCATAAATATTGTCTCATAGAACTGATGTATACATGAATTTATTTGGACAACTAGTCGGAATTTATATATTCAACCAAATATAGATTCAGGTGTATATACCCCATAGTATTCAATGTTTAACTAAACTAGAGATTCAGTTAATTATTATTTTTTTCCAAATTTCGAAAATGTGCAGAAAAAAATCTGATCTGGATAAATAGTTGTTGAATATACAACATTTTTCTTAATTTTTATTGTTTGTTCACTATTCTAAGATGAACCCATAAGTCCATTTTCTTTTTTTCAAACATTTAGTCCATTTCTGCAAATAAAAATGTTTTTTTTCCTATTTATGAATCTAAATTGTTAGGGATGATAGATATACTACTTTACAAATCACTTAAAGTATTCTGGACATCTGTTTATGTTAGAGAGAAGCCGTTCTTTCTCCCTGTACCATATTCTCATATGTACTCTTTTTTCATATATTACAACCATTGAATTGACTGCTTCTATGAATGTAGTGTTCATTTTGTTGTGTTCATGAGGTATGGCAAATTGAATCAATGCACATATTTATGTGGTCCTACGTTGTAGATGATGAACTGACTGACTTGAATTATACATTATTTCAACTCTTAAATGAAAAGTATATTCTAGTCAACCTATTGTGAATTAGTGAGTTGAAAAAACACACAGAATAATAATTAAGGTTATTACATTTATCTGGCAAATAATCCAAACTTTATTATATTCACAAAACCACTTAGAAACCACTCTTACAACTTAGCTCACATTGATACCTTTAATGAAGATTTAATAAGGTCAATCATTTATTTCTACCATTTAGAATACAAATGGTAAAGTTGAAAAATTGCATACTATCGCCAATTTTGATGTTTAATTATATTTCCTCGAAAAAGCTTAGACCAGATTGCCCAGGTGAAATGTTGGATTTACTTCCTCCTCTTTAACATGCATCATAACTTAAATTCAATGCATGATTATTAGGACCAACATTAACTTCTATCATTCTAATAAAAGCGTACAAACTAGTCATTGTAATTTGGTAAATCTTTAAATTGACTGATTACTATACTGCTACTGTGTTTAGTAGCATTCCAGAAAGTTCGGGAAACCCAAGAATATCTAAAATACTATAAAAACCCATATTTCACTAAAATGAATTCGATTCATATTCCACAGTTTTAAGACATTTTTATTGTTTAAAAAAGAAACATTTTCATTGAGACATGGTATTAATTATATAAATATCTATGTTTCAATATGATTTAAAGTTCTTATTTAACTTATAAATTCTTTTCAATTTATTATACAAAAGTAATAAATCAGTGTTACCTTTCTATTTATGAATTCACTATTGATAAAGTCATTTTAGCCTGACTTTGAAATATTTGTCAATTAAATGTAAAACTAAGAGAATATAATTGATAAATCCGGATAGAGATTGTGTTATTTAGAGTTGCCGACAGTGTTATGTATATATTGACTCTGTTAGGATCATAGTTTTACTGTTTAGACTGGACAAGTTGGAATTACTGCATTTTCTACGAAGTCATGAAAGGATACGAAAGGCTAATGCAATGAAGATATAATAACTCTCAAAAAACACTCTTAAACAAGTCTCGAGATCATGCTGTCATAAAAACAAAGTATAATCGTTTATATGCTAATCTTCACATAAGCTAAGTAGTATCACATTAAGAGAAAATACACAGAATTACTACAAAGGTACAGTAAATTTGGACCACGTGAATCAGTATAAGGGATATAAATGTCACACGAAACAGAAGCTTCCACCTGTCACATTGGCTGAAATTCATAGTGAATCAATAAAAAGAAGACTGACCTAGATAATATTATCTTTTATTCCAGTATATGAATGATTTTTTTGTCAAATCTTTCTTACCACTGTAAAAAATTAATTTGTCTGCAAAGTACGACATCACCATTCGTAACTCATAAATGTACTTGTTATGTAACTAGCTATTTTTAGCCCACTATATTGCAAATTTCTTACTACACTGAAGTAATGAATTCATTACCTCATTTTATGATATTAAATTTTTTCTGAGGTATCGATTGTATCTCCATGGAAAGATAACGTTAAGTACATGTATAAGATGAATGGATTTTGATACTGATAAGTCTTGCTTATTGAAGGTTATATTCGGTTCCTAATCTATTCTTGTAACCACCAAGCTAGAAATAAACAGCAAGAGAAAAGGCGGAAAATATGCGAGAAGCACTTTACTCCAAAGGTTCGTTTTAGTACAGAAAATATAAGATTTTTATAGTATTTTAGATGTCCTTGGGTTCCCCGAAGTTTCTGGAATGCTACTAAACATGGTAGCAGTATAGTAATCAGAAACTCTACAAGTGACTTTTCACTTCCTTGATGTTTCTGACTTAACCTCTAGTGAACGATGATTGGATAAAATGCTTCTTAGTGTTTCCTGAGCCTTCGCTTTTGCGAGAGGTTTTCTGAATCACCCTAACAGGTACTAGTTCAAAAAACTGACCTAAAACATGGATTTTGTCAACTGATATAAATCAATAAATTTTCTTCTTTTTATGTTGTAATTAGTTCTGATCATCATGAAGGCCTTTATGATCTTATTGCTTACCTAAAATGTTTTATCCAGCAGTTTCCGCCAGTCTTTCGTTTATTTAGTAGATGAGTGATGTAATTTGCATTGAAGATTGTGTTACAAGCTTTAGCATTTAATACATCTGTGTTTTTTATCCTGGATGTGAGGTTCCACTACATGGTTATAGCAGACAAATGCAGATATTCTAGGAGTTCGAAGTGAAATCCTTAATGAAAATTAAGCTCCAGTAAATAGCATTCATACACCTTTTCTAACTCGTTTTATTTCTTATTATTAAGTTATTATCACTCTCTTACAGTTCTTCTTTCCTTAAATTATATTCTGTTGTTATTATCACCGCCAAGTTTTCAATTTCTTTCTCTCTTTAAAGTGGACAATTATCTCTTGTATTTATGATCTATAAATTATTTTCATTTTACTAATATTTCTTTCATCAACAACCTATTACTCAACTTTGTTATGACACTTGAAATTTACAAACACTTTATGATGTAATCTCTTTCGAATGATTAATATATTTGTTAAATCATTATAAATATAATTGTACAGTTTTAGTAAATGATATAAACAATGAAAAACTTTTCTTTTCTTGTTGGGGACGATAGATCCCCAAACTCATATTTTGAATTTTATCGCATCGATCAACTTATTGATTAAACGTTTAAATATTTGTGTTGGGGTCAATTGATGAACTGATCGATTAAATGTTTGAATAGCAGTCAATTGATGAACTATCGATTAAATGCGCAAATAGGTCAATTAATGAACTCATTGATTAATGTTTAAAAATTTCCTATGACAATATCGATTGTAAATAATTGTATAAATACGCTTGACTTGTATGCTTGATCTGATCTGCCTGCCTGACTTGGTATCTGCTGTTGCTTGTAGAATACACTTTCTAAGCCTTACCAAGACTTCTTGATCGAGTTAGCTGAGTCGAAGACAACGGACCAGAATAGTCTATTGAGTCTCTGAATCCTGAGCCTTCGTTCCGTTCCGAATAAGTCGAATCAGTAGTATCCTCAAGGTTAACGAACCTAACAATTTGGCGACGGTGGTTTTGGAAACATGGATCCTTCTAAACTTGAATTATTACTCGAGCAGCAAATGAAACTTATTCAGATGTTAGCGGATGCAAAGCTTACGTCTAATACTCAACCAAGCAGTTCTAATCCTACTACTACTGCACCATCAGTTGATGGTATCGCTAACAGTATCTCCGAGTTTCATTACGATCCAGAATCCGATGTCACGTTTGATATGTGGTTTCGACGTTACGAAGACTTATTCAAATTCGACTTTGCTAATCAGGATGATGCTTGGAAGGTCCGCTTGCTGCTTCGAAAGTTGGGTCCTAATGAACTAGACAGGTATTGCAACCTAATTCTGCCTCTAAACCCACGCGATCGCTCATTCTCGGACACTGTCCAGTCATTGAGCCAACAATTCGGAGACAACTCCTCACTATTCAATGCGCGTTATCGATGTCTGAAGCTCACTATGAACGAAGACGCTGATTTTCTCACACATGTGGGTATCGTTAACCGAGAATGCGAACGCTTCCGGTTGAAGTCACTTACTGAAGACCAATTTAAAGCACTCATTCTCATCTGCAGCCTTCAATCACAGAAGTTCAGTGACATTAGAACACGTTTGCTAAGTCGATTGGACCAAGATCCAAAACTAACCCTTAATGATATTGCAAACGAATATCAACGCCTAATCAATCTACAGCGTGACACTACGATGGTCCAGCGTGGTGGTTCAGATCGTGCTGAAGTTCATGTAGTCCAACAACCACACAACTCGCATAAATCTGCCCCAGCAGCATCAAGTTCAAGTCAAAAGACAAAAACAAATCCTCCTGCCCCATGCTGGCACTGCGGTGCATGGCATTTTGTTCGATACTGTCCATATAAGCAACATCGGTGCAGGAAATGTAACACGGTGGGTCATAAAGATGGTTTTTGTCGAAAAAAGAGGCCAAGCAACTCCAAAGGTACCAGGAAGCCACCACCATCTCAGAACAAATCTCAGAAGCTTCCAGAGTACGAGGTTGGATGCCCTGTGTTCGCTCGAGACTACAGAGCAAATCATGGTCCTTGGATCGAAGCACGTGTGGTTGGAAGAATAGGCCAAGTTATGTACAATGTAAAGGTGGGAAGAGACACATGGACTAGACACCGAAATCAACTACGTAAGCGGATAGCCCCAGACCACCCATCAACAGGACTAAATCTTCCTCTCGACATCTTGCTTGATACTTTCAACTTACCGGCAACCCTACCACAAGAAAAACCCCAACAACAATCTGAAACACGTCCCAGACGATGGCCTATAAGAGAACGGCGAGCTATAGTCAAGATGCAGGTTGACCCCAGGAAAGCCCGCTATTAAAAAGGGGAGGAGTGTTGGGGACGATAGATCCCCAAACTCATATTTTGAATTTTATCGCATCGATCAACTTATTGATTAAACGTTTAAATATTTGTGTTGGGGTCAATTGATGAACTGATCGATTAAATGTTTGAATAGCAGTCAATTGATGAACTATCGATTAAATGCGCAAATAGGTCAATTAATGAACTCATTGATTAATGTTTAAAAATTTCCTATGACAATATCGATTGTAAATAATTGTATAAATACGCTTGACTTGTATGCTTGATCTGATCTGCCTGCCTGACTTGGTATCTGCTGTTGCTTGTAGAATACACTTTCTAAGCCTTACCAAGACTTCTTGATCGAGTTAGCTGAGTCGAAGACAACGGACCAGAATAGTCTATTGAGTCTCTGAATCCTGAGCCTTCGTTCCGTTCCGAATAAGTCGAATCAGTAGTATCCTCAAGGTTAACGAACCTAACATTTCTATACTCCTTGTCCAAATTTATCTATGAATACTATTATTTTAGTAGTTGAAATGATGAGTCAGTTGAAGCTAAACCACCATGGAAAATCTGGAAGCACTGGACCGCCTTTTCGTCCTATTACGGGACTTCACAAAAGTGCTCATCCACGATCCCGCGAGGTGGGATCGTAAATCCAGGACCTATCAGTCTCGAGCACAAGCGCTTAACCACCAAACCATTGAGCCGGAATCCAACGATGTTAATGTCTAACTTCGACCAATCCAGTGGTCTAATGGTTAAACACTGATAGGTTCTAGGTTCGAATCGCGCTGGGGGCCGGATCATGGGTGCGCACTGCTGAGGAGTCTCAAACTAGGTTGAAATGGCCGTCCAGTGCTTCCAGGTTTTCTATGGTGGTCTAACTTTAATTGACTCATGATCTCAACTATTAAAATGACTATAATATCCACAAAATCCCTTCTAATAATAATCATCGATTTGTTAACTGTAAAGTTATTTAATTAATGAACTATTATTTCTTTAGTAATGATTTCTTAGAAAAATGACAATTATAGAAGAAATTCTTAAAGATAACTGCATATATACATACACCTATATGTTTTGGTTTGTCTTATTTTCAGGCCATTTATATGAATAGAATTTTAATTTCAATTTAGATAAATAAATAAATAAACTTGTCGTATAAATATTGTTTTGTTTTTCATTTATTTATCAACTATGAAAATCACTTCATTCTATAATATGTTCCCTTCGTTTCTGTCTCCCTCTCTCTCTCTCTCGCACTGTTTCTTTTTTCTTTTTCTTTATTTTCTTCAATTTACTATTGATTTTTTCTCTTTTTTACAATCATATTTCTTCATTTATAGTTAATGAATAATAGATTCATAATAGAACTAATTTTTCTTTAAAAAAATAATAAGAGAAGAAGAAGAAACGTTTTATTTCTTCTCTGTATGGTTAATGTTTATCATTAATGACATTTTGTGATTATTCAATGTTTATTATGAACTGGTTATTAAAAATCGGTATGAATATACATGTAGTGTCAGTTATTATGTTAAGTCCATATACTTTATTCTAACTTTTGGACAGCTCAATCTAATCATTCTACTTGAGTCATATTTTGACCTTGTTAATTATTCACTTATCAGTCTTGATTGTTTTTATTTGAGAGTATATGTGTGTACACTTCATGTCTCATCACATTTCTGTAGTTTATTTTGTCTGCCTATAAATATTGAGTAATATCTGGCTAAAAACGATTTGGCTTATTAGCCATCTCCACTGCGCGTCATTTTGATTTGTTTTATTACATTCACTTTACATAAAAAATATATGTATTCAAAGGCCATTCTCGTTAATTGACTTACCTGAATTACGTTATTGACTAATATGATTCAACTTGATGATTATATACGAGGATAGGTGATAACAAACATTCTTACGATCTACATGGAGTCAGATGACGGGCCACTAAATACATATATTACTTACTTGCTTACGCCTGTTACTCCCAGTGGACCATAGGCCGCCGATCAACATTCTCCAACCCACTCTGTCTTGGACCTTCTTTTCTAGTTCCATCCAATTCTTGTTCATTTTTCTCATGTCTGTCTCCATTTCTTGGTGTAATGTGTTCTTTGGTCTTTCCCTTTTCCTTTGGCCTTGAGGATTCCATCTGAGGGCTTGTCTTGTGACGCAGTTGGATGCTTCCCTCAATGTGTGTCCTATCCACTTCCAACGCTTCTTCCTGATTTCTTACTCCGCTTGGATCTCGCTTGTTCTCTCCCACAGTAAGTTGTTGCTAATAGAGTCCGGCCAACGGATCTGAAGTATTTTGTGTAGACAATTGTTAATAAACACCTGTATTTTCTGGATGATGGCTTTCGTGGTTCTCTAGGTTTCCACGACATACAGTAGACCTGTCTTGACATTTGTGTTGAAAATCCTGACCTTGGTGTTGGTTGACAGTTGTTTTGAGTTCCAGATGCTCCTCAGTTGTAAATATGCTGCTCTTGCTTTGCCGATCCGTGCCTTCACATCTGCATCAGATCCACCGTGTTCATCAATGATTCTGCCAAATACATATATGCATATTGTAAATTCGGTAGCATGATTATGAATAATCTAAAAAAATATTTTTGAAACAAAAAGAAAATTATATTTCTTCCAGTAAAAATTCTTTTGTAGTGCTTAATGTTTACAAAACATGATATGTTATCTGATTACGTAATTCATTAATATTACGTCATTTGTTTTTGAAATTATTCATGTTGAACATTTCAATACTTCAATGGAATTTCAAAATAAAATTAAATAAAAAAATATTATCAAAGAAATAAAATGTAACTCAAAAATAAGTAAATGATTAAATTTCACAGATTGAAATCATGAGTCAATTGTAGCTAGACAATCATGGAAAACCTGGAAGCACTGAACGGCCGTTTCGTCCCAGTATGGGATTCCTCAGCAGTGCTCGTCTACAACCCCGCCCCGCGAGATTCGAACCCACGCGTAAGTGATTAACCAATAGGCCACTGAACTGACATCCAACGGTATTAATGTCTAATTTCAACTAATCCATGAAATTGAGCGACACATTCGCAATTGTCTTCAGTGAGTTACTATCTCACAACTGACCCGGTTGAACTCCACTGGTGACTGCTTCTTGCTAGAGCTCCAGGATATACCTCTTGAAGTCAGTGACTAGTGAGCATATGTTGATTAGTATCAGAAGGGGTTTGTGAAGATTTTAGAAATTTCACAGATTGAAATCATGAGTCAATTGAAGCGCCTGGCGCGAGACTGATAGTTCCTGGGTTCGAATCTCGCAGTGCGGGATCGAAGATGCGCACTGCTGAGGAGTTCCATACTAGGACGAAACGACCGTCCAGTGTTTTCAGGTTTTCCATGTTGGTCTAGCTTCAATTGACTCATGATTTCAATCTGTGAAATTTCTAAAATCTCCACAAACCCCTTCTGAAACTGATTAAATGTTAAATCTGTTAAAGTTAGTTGTGTTTTTTAAAAAAAATGAAAATCCTTTCGATACAAATATGTATTCTATCAAATTTTTGTATTGTAATAGGATGATACTTCTTAGAAACAAACAAATAAATAAAAATTTCATTAATATTCGGTACAATGAATATGTACAGAATGTTTTATTAACATCTTGAAAATGAATAGAATGTACTAATTCTAAACTAAAACAAAGTAATTATGAGCAAAGTTAGATGGTAGCTAGCAGTGAAATGGAGGACGAGCATTTCGCCCTATTTGCGACTCGTCAACTGAATGCGTCTGCACCCCAGAGTTGATGTTTACTCCGAAATTCTAACTCTGAAGGGAACAGCAACTCTGGGATACAAGTGTATTCAGCTGAAAAGCCCTAAATATGACAAAACGTGCATCCTGAATTCCACTGTTTGTGACTTAAGTCAATATCGAGGCAATCCGCACAGGATACACATAGACCAATAAGAGACTGATCAATTACAATCCTGAACATCATTGGGAAGATTGAAACAAACAATATCAAATAAATTTAAATAATTATGAATAAAATTAAACAAACGTTTACATGATGTAGTTGATCACATAAGAAAAGTTCTGAGATTAATATTAATGGACGTTTGTGTTGGTCTAGGATGTACAGTTAATTAATTGCTCAAGAGATCAGTTACGGTTTGAATAAATAAGTTATGACATCTAAGACTATGACGTGGATTTGAATGTCAGAGAACGCATCAGATTATAGATACACCATACTGAAAATTTCTAATTTACACTAATTCTAAGTTCAAGATATCCCAAGGACTTATTCCAAATACATAACAATCAAATCATCCACAAGATTCATTCTTATTGTTTTTGAAAATTTACGCTAAATATTTGTTCGTAGTATAAAGTAAACTTAATATAATTACAAGATGATTCACAATTTTCTCCTGCAATCTAAGCTACCATAATACTTTGATTTACTTTAATAACAGACTGCAGGTTACAAAAGAAACAAGTTGACTTACATCGAATTTAAAGTCATACAATCGATTTGAAAATAAGTGCTTGTCCTGGATCCCACTGTTAGCCACTATCCATCTTTGCTTATAATTATATTTTACAGTTAATAATACATTAGATAAAGCTACCGACTACTTATGTTTTGCCAGTAGCTCAGTCAAAACATTAAAAATAAGATGGCTTTAGTCTCAGAAGATAATATGGCACTAACACAACAATGTAAACTTATCAATCCAGCCATTAAAATTGAATTTTTCTATAGTATTTGTTGTGACTGACTGGTCATTGTCGTTATGAATCCATATCTGAGTGTCTTTTTATATTAACGAAGACATTGAACTTCTGTGATTTCAGACTTGTATACTAATACTGAGTTACCATTTGAAAGAATTAAAGTCTATATTAAGCATTGAGGAAATCATCATTCTACAGGGTTTTATAGACTTTTTATGCTTCTAGTTTAAATAGGAATGACCACTTTGATATTTCATGGTCATATAAGACAAAACTATACGAGATGTTAAAAACACGAAGTTCAGCGAAGGGATCTCTTTCCAACAAATTTATTATAAAGCTGTTCAGTCGTATTTATATGAAATATTTTGTTAAAGTACTAATTTCGTAAGGAAATGTGAACATGAATAACCGAAATGACGTAATAGAAAGATTATAATACTGGATTACGTAATGCGAATAGTAACATTAGATTTAGTGAGAT